TACGAGTGGTATAAACATGAAAAGGAATCACAATTATAGTTACTTAAAGAAAATGGATTTTCAACAATTAGCACAAGTACGCACCCGTCACCTCACGTACAAGGCATTTCAAATATCACTAATACCAATTCCTAAGGGGAGTTCCTACACAAGGATAGGCAAGCCACTTACCTCGATCCGGCTCGAAATCACGCAGAAACCACGCTCTTGCCACGAGTAATCGACTCCAAGTGGCCCAAATCTATTCAAATCAATTTCATAATGTAAATAAAACTTCAAGTAACTAATTCCACTAATTGATTCTAAGCTAATACGCGAAATTAGCAAAAATGACCAAAACGCCCCCAGGCCCACTTCTCGGAATTGGTTAAAATTTACAAATTCAAAATCCTCACACTCTCACGAGTTCAGCCATACCAGGAGTACCAAAATCAGAGCTCAAATGGTCCCTCAAATTATCACTCAAGCTCTCCAATTAACCAAGCCCTAGTTTCTTCAATATTTACCCACAAATTTTCAATAAATTTCAAGATTAATCGATGAAATAACACCATAGGAATGAGTTTTATGTTCAAAAATCTTACCTCAATGGATTTCCCTTGAATTCTCTCTTCAAAACCTCTCAAAAAGCTCCGAAGTCGTCTTAAAAATGGTGAAATAACCAAAGATTCCCGAAGGGAACCTTTTATATTTTCTGACCCAGGCTTTTCGCATCTGCGGTCCCTACACCGCATCTGCGATACTGCATCTGCGGCCAAAGCACCTCATCTGTGGTTTTCACTTAAAACCAAAATGTCGCACCTGCACCTGCACCTCACCTTCCGCACCTGCTGTTTCGTAGGTGCGACAAATCATCCGCACCTGCGCTTCAGCCCTTCACACCATCTTCCGCATCTGCAACTAGCCTTCCGCTTCTACGGGCCCGCACCTGCGGTAACCCTAGCCGCAGGTGCGGTCATGACAGCAAATGGAAAAACTTCAACTGCCAAACCCAACTCAAAATCTTCCGTCAACCATCCAAAATCACTCCGAGGCCCCCGGGACCTCAACCAACAGCACAAAAAAGTCATATACCACTATCCAAACTTATACAAATCTTCAAAACACCTCAAACAACATTGAATCAACCAATTAACATCGGATTTAAGCCTAAGAACTTCAAAACTCTCAAATTACGCTTTCGATCAAAAAGTCTATCAAACCTCGTCCGAATGACCTGAAATTTTGCAAACACGTCACATTCAACACTACGGAGCTACTCCAACTCCCGGAATTCCATTCCAAACCCGATATCAAAATCACACTATCGAACCAAAAACTTTAAAAATTCAACATTCGGCATTTCAAGCCTAAATAATCTACGGACCACCAAAACACAATCTGAACACGCTCCTAAACCCGAAATCACCCGACGGAGCTAACGAAATTCCATTCTGAGGCCGTCTTCACACTGTTCCGCCTACGGTCCAAATTCTAAAATTTAAACTCTCATTTAGGGAATAAGTGTCCCCAAACTCTCCGAAACTCCGATTAAATCCTCCCGGCAACTCACAATAGCATAAACAAACATGGGGAATGCAGTTAATAGGGGATCGAGGCATTCATTCTAAAAACGACCGGCCAGGTCGTTACATCCTCCCACACTTAAACATTCATTCGTCCTTGCATGAGCATAGAGACATACCTGAAGTAGTAAAAAGATAAGGCTAACGGCTGCGCATATCCTGTCGGTCTCCCAAGTCGCCTCCTCGACCGGCTGACCCCGCCACTGAACCTTCACAGATGCAATGTTCTTTGACCTCAGCTTTCGAATTTGCCTGTCCAATATCACCACTGGCTCCTCAACATAAGATAGATCCTTGTCTAACTGGACTGAACTAAAATCCAACACGTGTGATAAATCACTGTGATACCTCCAGAGCATCAAAACATGAAATGTCGGATGAACTCCTGCCAAGTTGGGAGGTAAAGCAAGCTCATAAGTAACCTCCCCAACACGCCCCAATATCTCAAAAAGGCCAATAAACCTCGGACTCAACTGCCCTTTCTACCTAAATCTCATAACGCCCTTCATAGGTGAAACCCGAAGCAGGACCCGCTCTCCAACCATGTAGGAAACATCACGAACCTTCCGGTTCGCGTAACTCTTTTATCTGGACTAGGCTGTACGGAGTCTATCCTGAATTACCTTGACTTTCTCCAAAGCATCCTGTTCCAAGTCTGTGCCCAATAATCTAGCCTCACTCAGCTCAAACCAACCTACCGGGGATCTACACCGCCTACAATATAAAGCCTCATACGGTGCCATCTGAATGTTGGACTGATAACTGTTGTTGTAGGCAAACTCCGCCAATGGCAATAACTGATCCCAAGACCCTGCAAACTCAATCACACACGCACGGAGCATATCCTCAAGAATTTGAATCGTGCGCTCGGACTGTCCGTCCGTCAGAGGGTGAATTTCTCATTTAGGGACTAAGTGTCCCTAAACTGTCCGAATCCAACTAAATCCTCCCAAAACTCACAATAGCAGAAACAAACACGAGGAATGCAGTTAATAGGGGATCGGGGCGTTAATTCTTAAAACGACCGGCCGGGTCATTACAGCGGGGATTAATGGACACTTCAGAGAGCTCAACAATTGGCAGGCAGTAGAAATTGGGAAGGGCAGTGGGGTTTTCTCAGAGTACGGATCAAATTTTGATTTTTAATGTCCAGACTTGGTCCTCGACCCACGAACATGATCCTGGCTTAATCCCTCAGGCTTTTACTCAAACATCAAAGCTCCAAATCGCTCGAATTCATTCCATAACATCTACCTAACATCTAGGATTTAACTCTAGTTAATTCACTTTTAATGTTCAAGTGAGTCTCTCCAATTCACTCAATTATTAGTTCAAACGTTTAGTAGAAACTCCTCTCTTGATTAAGTCTCAACCTCACGAGATGAACCAATTCAAGCTCGGTGAAGATATGCAAGAATGCATAATGGATTGGTCATTAGGAGAACCTCTCTCGATTATCCTCCTATCTAGGTTTAATCAATGATTCGACTATCCTCTTTCTATTACTAAGAAGAAGTAATGAACTCAACCAACAATATAATGTAAGATATCACAAGTTATGCCTCTCGCGGTTACATGAACAAGTTAATATAGATACAACAATTAAATCATCCAAAAACGTTTCAATACATAAAACTGGAGTTAATTTCCACAAACAAATATCAATACACCAAGTCCATCAAACCCTAAAGGGAACTACTCCATAGATAATGAGAAATTCATCACAAATATAGTTAAAGTAATAGAAAACATAAATTCAATCAAAACTCGGGTCTTGAGGGAGGAAGGAATGATGCACTCCTTGTGCTCGTGTTCTTCCAACTATTCCTTAGCCTCTTTAGGTCGAATATGTGTCAAAAGTCCAGAAAATAATATTTTCCCATGTATTTATACCAAGTAGGTCGGGCCCAGACAAAAACACCTTCTCGTAGCCGAAATAGGACATTGGCTCTGTAAAAATTGCACAGGCATGCCGCAAAGGACGACGCGCCATGCCACGCACTAGTAGAGATCTTCAGGAAACTCAACAATTTAACAGACAACAAAAATACACTGCTGCCTAACACTATGCCTCTCACCCTCTGTCGCACTAGTGAAAATTTCTCAGAGTACGGCTAAAATCTTGCATTTTGACGTCCAGACTTGGTCCTCGACCCCCGAACACGATCACGGCTTAATCCCTTGGGCTTTTACTCAGACTTCAAAGCTCCAAATAGCTTGAATTAGCTCCACAACATCTACATAGCTCGGAATCACTCCTACAAGGCATAAAACACACAATTAGTACAAAAAAGTAAGGATTAAAGAGAACCACAATGATCATATACAGACAGTAACTGACAAAAACAAGGAAGAACAAAACAACACGAAGTGTTCCCACCAAAATACTTTGCAACATGAGATAAATAGCAAGAATCACAATGAGGTACTGCCTCATGTACAATATAAATCACCACCGAGGTACCGCCTCGTGTATATATATATATATAAAGAATCATGACCGAGGTATCGTCTCGTATTCACAATTCACAATCTCAATCATAATCTTTGCTTATACCGCCACGTGAGCATTGCATTTGAAATAGGTTTTGAAAACAATTTTCCTGAAATAGGAACACGCACTTTGGCCTACCTTATGATGCCCTCTGGCTTCACGTAGTTCTCTAACAAGAAACACGCACATAAGTTCTACCTTTTACCGCCGCATGCACATTAACCCCAAGCCGTATATCGCCGCATGTGTGTCAATAATACATCACAATAACAACTCACACCATAAGTTCCCATATATCATAACTTGCCGACACTCAAAAATATCAATGTTCCCACAATAATAGACCATGGATCCACCACAACATGTACAAAAATATCAACAATAACAATGAATGTAAAATTCCCAACATGAAATATATCTCAACAAGTATCAACTTTGCCTCAAAGTGATACGGCTTTCACAACTTCAATACCAAAAACACAACAATGAGAAAGATAATGTATAACTACAAATACAAATAGCTCATAATGGAAGAAATAACATGACTTCAAATGAGAATAATAGCAACGAAAGAGATAACTTCTAACAATCACACCAAATAATCATAATCAATAATGAAAGAGATAACACGTGCAATGACTCTAAATAATGATAATCAACAATGAAAGAGAGACCAAGTAACAATAAAGAAGGCAACAAGTTCAACTAAATCAATAGAGCAATTTATCAAGTAGGATGTAGAACAAGTGTTAAACAAGTCAATAAAGGCATGTAAGGATAGACGAACGCAATCAGAATAGATTGACTACAAGAATTTAGAACATATCATATTATTTTAATCAAAGCATGGAATTATTCTAAGTAGCATAAACCGGTCAAATACCACGTACAACCCGTGTGCGCACTCTTACCTTGCATACATGGGTTTCACATAGCACAAATCAACAGCAAGCTATAGTAAAATTCCCTGGATCTCCACACATTTGTGGGAGTTTTTTTTGCAGCATTGCGCTGCAATGCTCTTTGAGCTTGACCACTGAGGTCTCCTCTATTTTTCTCTTCTTTGTTAGGATCTTCTTCAAGAGTTTTGTATAAGCCTGCATTTGTGAGAGTACTTTTGTGAATGTTAAGTTCACATGAACTTGTTTCAGCATATCCAGAAATTTCTCAAACTGATTGTCAAGCTTTTCTCTGTATAGCTTTTGTAGGAAAGGTAAAACAGGCATATGCTTGCTCTCTTCAGGTTCCTCCCTTCTCAAAACCTCTTCCTTATTCTTTTTCTCAACTCCCTTCTTGCTTTTCTTCTTCTTATCAACATCAGTTTTCAGTTGCTCTGCTTTTTTTTTCAAGTTCCACATCTTTTCTTTCAACACTTGCCCACTTCTCAAGGTTACATCATTTACTGGTTCTTTGGGGTTTCTTTCAGTATCAGAGGGTAGAGTACCTGGGACTCTCTCAGATAATATTGTTGCAATATTTCCCACTTGCTTTTCTAGATTTTGACTTGCCGCCCTTTATACCTCAAATCTTTCATCAGTTTTTACAATAAAGGCTTTTATGAGATCTTCAAGAACAGGCTGATTAGGTTGTTGAGGGTGAAACTGCTTCCTCTACTGATTCACAAAACTGGGAGCTCCTTGCCCTTGAAATCTGGGGTTTTTTTCTTGCCATGCATTAACAGTACCCCCAGGTGAACTCCAAGAAAAACCGGGGTGCTTCTAACCTATTGCGCTGAAGTTATGACTACCCACAACTTTCACTTCCTCAGTTGAGTCTTGACACTCATGAGTAGGGTGTCCTCTTCCAAATATATCATGAGTTACTTGAGGTTCACTCTATATTATGGCTAAGGCCAGCTTCCATATTTCTTTAGCCATAGAATCAAGTTTTACCTGCATAAATGTATTAGCATCAACTTGGTGAAAACCAGTTGATCTTCTTCTTTCAGCACTCTCAGAGGGCCACTGATTAGCATCTTCAGATAACTCATCAAGAATTGTAACGATCTCCTCTGGAGTCTTCTCCATCAAAGGACCTCCAACTGCAATGCTCAATGTTCTACTCGCGGCCGGTGTCAATCCATCCTAAAAGTCCTAGAGTTGCATCCAGAGTTCAATTCCACTATGTTGACACTTTCTAACAATATCCTTAAACCTCTCCTATGCTTCAAAAATGGTTTCCGTATTTTTCTAGCACAAGTAATGGATTTCTCTCCTAAACCTGCCCGTTTTAGCTGAGGAGGAATATTAATCAAGAAATTTTCTGGTCATCTCCTCCCATGTTCAAATCGATCCCTGGGGCAAGCTTCGAAGATAATGCTTTGACCCTCTTTAAGTGAAAAGGGAAATGCCTTTAAGTACACTACATCCTGTGTCACCCTATTGTATTGAAAGGTGTTCATGATCTCCTCTAAGTCCATCAGATATGTGTGTGGATCTTCGTAATTCTTTCCTCTGAAGACACAACAATTTTGAATGGTTTGAAGCAACCCTTGCTTCAACTCAAAGTTGTTAGCGGCAATTGGAGGTGGTCTAACACTTGATAGGCCTTGATTGTAGACAGGTCAAGCATAATCGCAAAGTGATCTCCCAGGCCTAGGAGCTATATTTCCGAACTGGTCTGCAGCCAAGGGTCGACTTTGAGCAATTCTCTGAATCCTCTTTTCTTCATGACTAATCTGTGCATCTATTATAGTTGCTTCATCATCATCCCATGCAGCTTTTTCTCGTTGCTGGGATGCCTCTCTTGCAACCAAATCTACAGTATCATCATCGACTCCAGTCATAGTTTCTTTGGTTTTGGATTGCCCAACCTTTTCTAACTTCTTAGTGTGATTTCATTCCTTTCTCAGTTGTCACAATTACTTTTCTATCTCTGGTTTGTATGGTAGCACTTCTTTCCAAGAAGCTCGAGTCATACACTAATCTTAACCTGTAACATGCGCACAGTCAAAGAACACCAATTGCAAAAGGGGAAAAATAAAATAAAATAAACCAAATTTTTTTTGAATTAGCAATAAAAACTATTTGAAACACTATTGATTGCCAATCCCCGTCAGCGGTGACAAAATTTGACGAGCGCAAAGCACTACCAAAAATTATGCTCGCCAATCAAATATAGTATAGTATAATATCGTATCTACGTGGATTGGAGTTAAACAGTATTTTCTTGTTTCTAGTTTGATTGTTATCCAACATGATCAACAATTTTGAATTATATGATTTCTAACTAAAACAAACATAGAGTGTATCTTATTGACTAATGACAATCGAAAAAAGGAATAAGCAAAGAAGGTTATCAATGAGAGAAGATGGGGTTTTGATAGGATAGGTGCAACAGAATTTATTGGGATTCAACTCTAGATAATTCACTTCTAATGTTCAAGTGACCCTCTCTCGAATTTACTCAATTATTAGTTCAAATGTTTAGTAGAAACTCCTCTCTCGATTAAGTCTCAACCTCACAAGATGAACCAATTTAAACTCTGTGAAGATATGCAACAATGGGTAGTGGATAAGTCCTTAGGAGAACCTCTCTCGATTATCCTCCTAACTAGGTTTAATCAATAATTCAACTAGCCCCTTCCGATTACTTAGGAGAATTAATGAATTCAACCGATGATATAATGCAAGAATATCACAAGTTATGCCTCTCTCGATTGCATGAACAAGTGAATATAGATGCAACAATCAAAACATTCAAAACCGTTTGTACACAAAACTAGAGTTAATATCAAGAAACAAATATCAATACACCAAATCGACCAAACCCTAAAAGGAACTACCCTATAGATATGGAGTAATTCATCAAAAATATGATAAAACGACAGAAAAACATAAATTCAATCCAAACTCGAGTCTTGAGTGAGGAAGGAATGATGAAATCCTTGTGCTTTTGCTCCTCCAACTCCTCCTTAGCTTCCTTTGGTCTAAAGTGTGTCTAAAGTCCAGAAAATAATGTTTTTCCATGTATTATACCAAGTAGGGTCGGGCCCAAATGAAACCACCTTTTCCTAGCTGAAATAGGATATTTACAGTGTACAAAATACATAAGCGCAGCGCATGGGGCGACACACAACGCAGGGTATTATTGGACATCTTCAGAGAGCTCAACAATTGACAGGCATCTGAAATTGGGAAGGCCAGTGGGGTTTTCTCAGAGTACAGATCTAACTTTGATTTTTAATATCCAGACTTGGTCCTCACCCCCCCCCCCCCCAAACATCATCCCGGCTTAATCCCTTGGGGTTTTACTCAGACTTCAAAGCTTCGAATCTCTCGAATTCATTCCACAACATCTACCTGACAAGCGCAAAACACCACTTAAATATGCTCGTTAATCAAATATAGTATAGTATAATATCATATCAACAAGTATTGGAGTTAAACAGTATTCTTGTAGTTTCTAGCTTGATTTCTATCCAAGATGATCAACAGTTGAGTTTTATGTTATGAATACTAAAATTAACTAAGAATTTAAAGCTATTGACTAATGCCAAATGATGCAAGGAATAAGAAAAGGAAGATATCAATAGGACAAAATAGGGTTTGATAGGATAGGTGTAAGATAATTGTCTGGGATTTAACTCTAGTTAGTTTACTTTTAATGTTCAAGTGAGTCTCTCAAATTCACTCAATTAGTAGTTCAAATGTTTAGTAGAAACTCCTCTCTCGATTAAGTCTCAACCTCACAAGATGAACCAATTTAAACTCTGTGAAGATATGCTACAATGGGTAGTGGATAAGTTCTTAGGAGAACCTCTCTCGATTATCCTCCTAACTAGGTTTAATCAATAATTCAACTAGCCCCTTCCGATTACTTAGGAGAATTAATGAATTCAACCGATGATATAATGCAAGAATATCACAAGTTATGCCTCTCTCGATTGCATGAACAAGTGAATATAGATGCAACAATCAAAACATTCAAAATAGTTTGTACACAAAACTAGAGTTAATATCCACAAACAAATATCAATACACCAAATCGACCAAACCCTAAAAGGAACTACTCCACAGACATGGAGTAATTCATCAAAAATATGATCAAATGACGGGAAAACATAAATTCAATCCAAACTCGAGTCTTGAGTGAGGAAGGAATGATGAAATCCTTGTGCTTTTGCTCCTCCAACCTCCTTAGCTTCCTTAGGTCTAAAGTGTGTCAAAAGTCCAGAAAATAATGTTTTTCCATGTATTTATACCAAGTAGGGTCGGGCCCAAACGAAACCACATTTTCCTAGCCGAAATAGGACATTTACACTGTACAAAATACATAAGCACGCCGCATGGTGTGACACGCTACGCGGGGCATTAGTGGAAATCTTCAGAGAGCTCAACAATCGACAGGCAGCAGAAATTGGGAAGGGCAGTGGGGTTTTCTCAGAGTACGGATCAAACTTCGATTATTAATGTTCAGACTTGGTCCTCAACCGCCAAACAAGATCCCGGCTTAATCCCTTGGGCTTTTACTCAGAATTCAAAGCTTCAAATCTCTCGAATTCATTCCACAACATCTACTTGACAAGCGCAAAACATCACTTAAATATGCTCGCTAATAAAATATAGTATACTATAATATCATATCAACAAGGATTGGAGTTAAACAGTATTATTGTAGTTTCTAGCTTGATTTCTATCCAAGATGATCAACAGTTGAGTTTTATGTGATGAATACTAAAATTACTAAGAATTTAAAGCTATTGACTAATGCCAGTTGATGCAAGGAATAAGAAAAGGAAGATATCAATAGGAGAAAATAGGGTTTTGATAGGATAGGTGTAAGATAATTGTCTGGGATTTAACTCTAGTTAATTCACTTTTAATGTTCAAGTGAGTCTCTCAAATTCACTCAATTATTAGTTCAAATGTTTAGTAGAAACTCCTCTCTCGATTAAATCTCAACCTCATAAGATGAACCAATTTAAACTCTGTGAAGATATGCAACAATGGGTAGTGGATTAGTCCTTAGGAGAACCTCTCTCGATTATCCTCCTAACTAGGTTTAATTAATAATTCAACTAGCCTCTTCCGATTACTAAGGGGAATTAATGAATTAAACCGATGATATAATGCAAGAATATCACAAGTTATGTCTCTCTAGATTGCATGAAGAAGTGAATATAGATGCAGCAATTAAAACATTCAAAATGTTTGTACATAAAACTAGAGTTAATATCCACAAACAAATATCAATACACCAAATTTACCAAACCCTAAAAGGAACTACTCTATAGACATGGAGTAATTCATCCAAAATATGATAAAATGGCGGGAAAACATAAATTCAATCCAAACTCGAGTCTTGAGTGAGGAAGGAATGATGAAATTCTTGTGCTTTTGCTCCTCCAACTCCTCCTTAGCTTCCTTAGGCCTAAAGTGTGTCAAAAGTTCAGAAAATAATGTTTTTCCATGTATTTATACCAAGTAGGGTCGGGCCTAAACGAAACCACCTTTTCCAGCTGAAATAGGACATTTACACTGTACAAAATACATAAACGTGCCGCATGGGGCGACACGCCACGCGAGGCATTAGTTGATATCTTCAGAGAGCTCACCAATTGACAGGCAGCAGAATTGGGAAGGGCAGTGGGGTTTTCTCAGAGTACGGATCATACTTCGATTTTTAATGTCCAGACTTGGTCCTCGACCCACGAATATGATCCCGGCTTAATCCCTTGGGCTTTTACTCAGACTTCAAAGCTCCAATCACTCGAATTCATTCCATAACATCTACCTGACAAGTGCAAAACACCACTTAAAATTATGCTCGCAAATCAAATATAGTATAGTATAACATCGTATCCACATGGATTGGAGTTAAACATTATTCTTGCAGTTTCTAGCTTGATTGCTATCCAAGATGATCAACAGCTGAGTTTTATGTGATGAATACTAACATTACCTAAGAATTTAAAGCTTTTGACTAATGATAATCGATGCAAGGAATAAGCAAAGAAAGATATCAATAGGAGAAAAAAATGGTTTTGATAGGATAGGCACAAGATAATTGTCTGGGATTTAACTCT